TCGGAATGACTAGCTAGCATCTGACGTCATTAATTCATCCGCTCATTAGGGAGCGCATTGATCGTGTGAAGTGTTTTACATAGAAGTTTCGTTTAAGGCTTGGCCAGATGGACGAGATTTATAGCGGGCAATGCACAATTAATTATCATACCGTTCGACGAAACTTTCTTGATTCGGTTCGGTGTGTTTCCTCGGTATTTATCTCTGATTCACGTACTTCTTTGGTATTCGCGTGTGGAAAATCTAACACGCCCCAGCGTGGTTGCATCGCTGATCCAAGTTCAGATATCAGATGTTTATATCACGCGATGCGTTGTACGTATTTGAACCGCGATTTATATAGCGCTCCCGTGATACGACAATTAAAATACATACTGTCACAATGCGCGTTACGATACGCACTCAACGTTGAATTTCACTCAATGTATTCATGTAGGTACATACATATAGCGACTTGTGAATTTATATACTTGAACATTCACTATAGAAAACTTTTATGAATATATCGTATATTCAACGTTTTGAAATTTCACGACTACTGTCGTGACTATATCGATTAAATTAGAAAAACATTTCTATAAAAATTGCAAGATATTTATTGCAAGTGTAATATATTTTGCAATTTATTATGTATATTACTAAACACATTTACTATTTAGACATTAATGTTTATGTTAATATCCGAAGTTTTTATATCAGCGTAGAAAACTCTTCTTGATTTGATTTCTAATTCAGAAATTGCGGGATTTAAGCATAAGGAGCGTATGAGTAACAAACTAGTTCGTAAAGATTTATAAAATAGTGACTTTTGATAACCAATTTAATCGCGTTACAATATATTACTATACTTATCTAAAGACTAAAATCATTTCAATTTATCTTTAATCTTCTAATTAAAATACATCTTGTCAAAAATAACTAAGCATCCGAATACTTTTTAACAGTAGTATATACATATAACGAGGCCAAACAGCGATTCGATATTTAATTAACAACAGGAAACAGATGTGTTGAATTTATTTCACGAATTTTTCGATCGATTTGGCTTTAAGAAACAGAAGGCTTTAGTCTACTAAAGAGATGCGTGACGATAGTTACTCTCGATATAAGGCAATCAGTCGTTTTTAGAATTCGAACAGGTATATTTTTGACCTGATTTAACGACTCTATAAGATAACGCGATGTCTGGTGATCAGCCGGAGGCGTGAATCAATTACTTTTTCACTTTATCACCGGGAAGGTGCACTACTCTCTTCGATATCAAACTTCTCATCGATTACATAACGCATTATCGTTCTTTCCGTATCTGGCCGAGTTTCCTCTGGATAAAAACCAATTATCGCGGCGTACGATTTCTGCCTATATTAATCGTCCTTTACCGCTACGAATCCCGCTAGCCTCGATGCCGGAGAGATCGCAAACAGTAGATGAAAATCTATCGCGGTTAAATGGCAAGTAAGCGAATTAAACCGAAAAACGCGATAATGTTCGTATACGTACGCGCGTAGATCCGCAATAGTTACCCATACAGCATGTTTCTGAAAGTTGGCTTCAAACTTCAGGAGTCCGTATACAGTAAAATTTAATAAGTATGAGTCGAACGAGGAAGTTATACGGTGTTTTCATCAACGAAATTCATATTATTTATCTCTGTCTATAGCATACGGTGGCTCATGAAAATACATGAAAAATTAGAGAAAACTTCTATATATATACGTATATTGTATGTATTATATAAAATATTTAAAAATTTCATTGGCAGTATAATGAGACGTGGCTATCATGATTATGATGACAAAATTTGACATTAATCTGGAGATGTATACAGAAGGTACACGATATTTAATTACAAGGAAATTTTAAAGTCTTTTATGTAACACACATAATACAAATAATTTCACGAGCTACCGTTTGATATGATATCCATTCACTGTAACAGTCGTATCAGCATGTTTTCTCATTGCAATTAACTAAATAATGTAAAAGTAAATTATGATGTAACTGTGAAATATACGCGCACGAATGCTATAACATTAAAGTGGAAAGCATTGTTATTTTATTACTGTTACCAACAATACGCGGTATCAGTACAATTATATAATAATAATGTGTTTATTACGCTTAATCTAATGATTTATGCACGATAAACATGCAATGAAGAAACACGTAAGAAAGCTTATTAAGACTTATCTCTGTTATAATCAGAAGTATATACTTCTGAAATTCGGTATCGATTTTCTGAAACATCCTGTACAACACGGACAGTACTCACGAAAAGAAAAGAAACGGAAAAGGAGGAAAGGACGTTTCCTATGTGTTCTCGATCAAACGTGTTCTTGCTATTTCGCATTAATTCGCATATTCCGTGCTGATTGACCGTACCAGCGTTGCGAGATCAATCAGCTCGATTATTAAGCTGTCGATATCTAATCAGCAATGACCCTACTTCGGTAAAAGGGTCAACTATAGACGTGGTTATCCGTGCAAATACGTATGTATTGCAATGTTATGCGTTGTGTGTATGAAGAACGACGGAGCCCTCGTTTCTCGCGTCGTCCAGAAATCGTTCGAACAGCCTAAAAAGCAGGTCATTTGTCACGCAACGTCGATTCGGACGAGCCTTAAAAACAGGAAACTTTAATTAGTTCGGTGAGACGAGCTTTGTGCTCTTACGATACGGCCTGACCTTGTAACTCTTTTCCCTCTTTCGCGATCAAGGTGACGGAGTACATGAGCTCGTTGGAATATCGACAGGCGAGAGAAGCCAGCCATGACTACAACAAGCAACGGATGAAGAACCAACAAAAGCTTTCGTCCGATAAGTATCCTTCTGCTACGGATTCGAAAAATACTAATGGTTTTCCGGAAGTTGATCAGAGTTCACATGGAAGATAAAATCAAATGATTTTGTTTCTGATTGTTATACGTAGAATGTGTTGATAATATTTATGCTTGATATTTTACTCCTCGATCAACTGATGTATGGGTATATTGGTATGTAATGATGTTTGAATAAAGATCAAAGAGGTAATAGATAATTATGCTGCGAGTATAAAATAGCATATTAATATAATATGCTTGGCAGAGGCATTCTGTTGAGTCGATGATCACGGTAACGAAGAGCTAAAGGTAAATTTCATTAACCGCCTATCAGATTTCATGTTTACAGGCGATGATTCCTAGAACTCGCATAAACTAGGTAAATAGATATTGGCAAAACTTGCCGCTTCGAAACTAATTAGACTTCGTATCGAAGATAAGAAGTGGAAATGTATAGTTTATTTTGTTTTCTTTTTTACGCAATAATGCACCTAGCATATATGGATTATGAGAAATGTTCTGTTTTTATTTATTGTCAAATCAAAGTTAAATAGTAAATAGTAAATAGTAAACAGTTCACGATTTAGTTGTATAGTACGGTGAATATTATGTTAAAGATATAAAATATCGTAAAGTATCGATTAACAATTAAAGATGTCAGTATTCTTCCAAATTCCTGAGAAAAAGGCAAACATGGACAAGGGCCGTTTTTGTTACGAGTCGTTTAATCAAAACAGGAATCCAACAGGAAGTAATTGTTTTAAGAAACGGAGAAAAGGAAAGGGTAGAAATTTGACAATAAATCTACGAAACGATGGAACTTTTACGAGTACTTGGATTCTTTGACCATCGCCAATCGAGATTCCCGTGAAGACAATGGCCGTTAGCTTCGCAGGAGTTTCGGCCGTTTTCAACGAGTATCTGGCTGGTATCGCGAACGTAAGGTCAGGGTGGACATGATATTTCCTGTATCGGCCGCAAGACAAAGGAACAAAAGCTGCTGTCAAAGTACGCGAAGCGTGTAAGTTACCACGAGTTAAAAGGAATGGCCACCAATTTGTTGATCGTTAACACGAAGTTAACTAACTGCATTGCTAATTACGGCGAACAAAGCGTTCTTCTCGTTTTCCTTCTCTGTTCCTCTTGCTTCGAGGAAATTGATTTCGGAAAATATTCAATTTTTTGCTCTGTCTTGATTATGATACAATTGAGCCTCTCAGAGGCCTGACTGATCGATTACATAAGCCCACGATCTATATTCAATTCAAACTTTTATAAGAAGAATCATCGCAATAAGATGACGTAAATCGTAAATCATGAGAAATAGTGTTTATAACATCATCGCTTCTCTATAATATTTAATTTATAGACCTGTTTGAGCTGTTGTTTGGACAGCTTGATTGATGGATTCAAAAATTCCATGCGTCTCTATTCCATATGAAAGGAAAATTTATCTGAACAAACGCGACGTAGTTAAACATGTTTTTATTGTCATACGATATGTTCTATGATTTACTATATCACTATATGACACAATCGTTAGATATGTTTCGCAAAATAATCTCCGATAAGCGAGAAAGATCGTTGAAATCATCCTTTCCAAGGTGGCGTAGAAAATGTAACGTGTTCTTTTGTAATGTTTGCAAGAATAAGTGCAAAGAGCATTGTTCTTTCAATTAACGAATCAGTCATTTAAGAAAGGAGAGGAGAAATGATAAAGAAAATGAAAGAAAATAATAAGAATTACAAATATTTGATATTACTTCTTTATATTCTATTATTTTTGCTCTCTTTTCGAACAGCAAATTCAAAGAACGGAAAAGAATAATTTAATCGATAAAATCGCCTGTTTAAACCCGATGGGTTTTGCCTTAGTAACTTGGCGTGCAAGAGCAAAAAGATAATTGTATAATTAAAGCCACGTGAGTCGCGCGATGCTGGCTTATATTACGTTTGTGGTAGTTCTATTTGTATTGTGATCCAATTTAAATAAATGTTCAGAAGTTATCTCCAGTTTATGTATATTTCGTAAAAATAATGTAAAAATATACTCAATTAGTGTAGTATAAATATTTAATTGTCAACCTGGAATTCTGCACGTATATCAAATTAATTTTAATGAAAAAAAAATGGGAAAAAATAATTAACGAATGTTGATATGCTGAGATAGGTCAAACTGCTGATTACTTTTATAACATTTATTATTCTTTAGTTGATCGATCGAACGATAACTTTACATCTTAATTCGATATGTAATGCCAGTGATGAACTGCTGACGGTTATTTACATAAAAGATAAAACTGTTTGTGAATATCTGAGCCAGTGCACGTGTTACGGCAACATTCTATATGGCTTTCATCAGTTCGTTTAATTTAAGCCGTTTTAGGAGATGCGTGTTACTGTCTCCGACACATTTCTCCGACAGAGTGAAATAGAAAAACGTATACACCGATTCATGCAAAATTCAGAGAAAAGTCCATAGTAGAAATCATCTGGTACACATAAAAATTACGACCGGCGTGGAAAATTATAAAAATGCCACATAGAGTTAGCATCATTGCTGTTCCGGATAAGCTTACCAAAGAGCATAGAAAAGATTCAAGTAAGTTTTTCTCATGGAGAACAGTTTATTTAATCGTATCGTTTTATCGTTCAAACAGATGCTTCTTAAAAGAACATTTTGTCTAATGTATGTCGAACAGATGAAGCGAGTCAAAAGAAGAAGTCTGCGGATTTCGAGACAGCCATTGCCGCAGCTGGTTATGGAAAATTTCAATATCTTCTGCTACTGGCGATTATTCCAGTATCATGGGCAACCAGTATCGACAGTTCCAATGTAGCGATGATTCTTCCCTCTGCAGAATGCGATTTGCAAATGACATTCTTTCAGAAGGGTGTGCTAAACGCCATCATATACATAGGTTTGTATTGTAACTCTGTCAAAAAGATTTTGTTGCGACGATCGCAAGTCCATTCCTTGATATATTTGTTTACTCAAGTAAATACCATGATTAACATAATTTAAAAACTGTATAAATATGTAGTTAACGTCAATCACGTGAGCGACTAGTTACTTGATTAAATCAATATTACTGGTTGCTACACACTGTTCTTATCCCACTTCTGCTCGATCAGGGCCAACTAGTACGCTAAGTCTAAATCTTAGTGTCCATAAGAATATATGTTAAAGGCATTTATTTGAAATTTTTAGGAATGATTTCTAGTGGTTTTCTATGGGCTTACATAGCGGATGTTAAGGGCAGGAGAGCCGTTTTTCTTTGTGGCTATATAGCTGATAGCATTTGTAACTTCCTGTCAGGGTTTTCACAGAATTTTTGGATGCTTGTATCTTTCAAATTCCTTAGTGGTTTCATGTGAGTTTATAACAGAGATTCTAAATTATTTGAACTCTTAATTGTCAATTCGAGTGTTTAAAATTCAAAGTGTCAAATTTTAATTGACGTAATTAAACAATTCGGACTTGAATAAATACTTGTTTCATTTATAAAATATTGCAGCAGATATAAAAAATATTTTAAAGTAATTTCTTTTAATATTTAAATTACTTTTTACACTTAAGTTTCTCACAAATACACGAATACGCACAGTGTAATAGATATTGTACGTTAGGATAAGCGGCCCCCATGCTTCCATCGTGGCCTACACTTCGGAATTTTATGGAAAAAAAGAAAGAGGAAGAATTTCATTGATCGTCGGTTTTGCCATTACATCTGGAAATATCGTAAGCGCAGGTGTGGTATACGCGAGTTGACATCAAGATAAAACGCTTGTTTATATGTCAGATCACTAAATCTTGTAGTGCTGGCGTTCATCATCATTCCACAACGCTGGTCCATCGTCTTGTGGGACGGTGCGTTTGTCTACAATTCCTGGAGACTTTTTCTTTCCATCTGTGGAATACCAACATTGATCGGTGTTAGTTGTCTCTTCCTGTTTCCGGAAAGTCCAAAGTTTCTCATGTCTCAGGGTCATATGGAGGATGCGTTGAAAGTTTTCAAGATAATTTATAGCACCAACACGGGAAAATCGGCGGAAGAATATCCGGTGAGAAGTTTGAACAATTTATTTTGCTTTTAAATAATTTAACCCACATATGTCTACGAAATACTATTGCATTTTTCTTTATTTGATACCTAAAGTAAATATATTAATTCAATTTTTGTACTGCTATTAGCTAGTTTCTAGAAATGATCATTCATCCCAAGAATATCAGTGCGAACAGTGCTGCAAAAACCCTACAATCATCTTTTTGGAAACACGATACACATATTTGGATTAAATAATACATTTTTTTTAACAAAAGATTTTATCAACAGTGTCAATGTTTTCTGTTTAAGATACAATATTTAGAAAACGAACTTCCTAAAGAAGGAAATGATAACGACTACGATGGAAAAATAGAGAAGAAGGCAATTTTCTTTACTCCACATTTAAGTCGAATTCTCTTGGTCACAGTCATGCAATTTGGTTCAATGTACACGTGAGTATCTCTTTTTAATGTTTTGAAACGAATTAATATTACATTAACTTTGGAGTAAACACAATTATCCGTGATCGGAAATTGTGTCACAGGGAACTTTGCAAGTGGGTTGTTGTTAAAAAGTAATTAGTAGAATGAAATTTTTAATCGATTCATTTTGTCAGAATGACGGTGTTTGTGACGAACGACCTTATTTGCTTTATCTATAAATACTGACGTTGCGTTGCTGTGTTCAGTAAAAGACGTAAACGACAAGAAATCGAGAGGTGACGTTTATCAAGACTGATATGAAAACAGTAATCGTAAAAAAATCCACGAAACGTCAGTGAGGAAACAATCTTATCAAAGGACGACATTCCAAGGAAGAAGAGAATACAAATTGATATTAAGTAAATCTTTATACGTTTTTCATTTTACAGAACCAACACGATTCGTATGTGGCAACCTCAACTTTTCACGATACTAGGAAATTTCGATCCAGTGAATCATAATCTAACAGAAGCACATAAATCGACATTTTGCGAGATCTTGGATTTCTTCTCTGTCGTAGACGAAACTTCCGCAGCCGTTGAAGAGAACGTGAACTGTACAAACGTGGGGCAGCCTACTTAGCAAATATTTTTTCATCGTCCCTCTCAGTAAATTTTATTTCTCCTCGTGTTTATCTGATTACATAATATTCTTTGAATTTTCTAGATTGTCGTGAGTGAGTCTGTTTATGTGAATACGATAGTTGTAACTGCCTTTGGAGGCATTCTTATTTTATTGAGTAGCTTTCTACTGAATATTTTGAAATACAGAATCTTACTGTGTAAGTACTTATAATGAAAATTTTATAGTCTAATTATAGTAAAATCTCGATTATCCGAACTGTTTATGGCACACGCTGAATAATTTCGCTTTTGTACGAAAGATTATTCTCATTTTGAGCTATTTGTAAATATTAATATTGATCAAATGTTTTACTATACATTATACAATTCCAATAATCAGTATTCTGGTAATCAGTGTATTATACACTATTGTATTATATTTACACATTTCGCGCTTAATTGATAGTATTAACGTATGATTATAGATATTTCTTACGGAGTAGCATTCTTATGTATAATTTATCTGAACTGGTCGTCTGACACATTACTAACACTAATTCTGACGAGTGTGTTCATTGGATTGACAAACACTACCCAAAATATAATTATTGCTGCAACTGTTATTATGTTTCCAACTTCTCTAAGGTTAAATATAATAATAGTACCAATTAAATAACAATATTAACTAAGGTATTACTATAGGAACATAAAATTCAGAATTTCAAATTAAATTAATATCTTCCATTAAAATTAGAGCGATCGCAGTGAGTCTGGTGATGTCAGTCGGAAGAATAGGGTCGGTGATTGGGAACCTTCTCTTCCCAATTTTACTGGCTCAAGGATGCTTCGTACCCATGATCCAGTTGGCGTGCTTGATATTACGTAAGTTGCCCTCTCCCGCTGTCGAACGTGTCTCTTTTTGAAAATACTATAACTCTTCTTTATTGTAGTTTGCTCCATTTTAACGTGTTTTCTTCCGTCGACCAAGAAAGCTAAATAATAAGAAATACGTAAGATTGTGTTACGATATTTAAGCTTCTCTGAAAGAACTTGCCAATAGAGAAGTTTTTACGTACATACACATACTCTAACTACGAATAATAGATCGCATCGCAGATAGCCTACAGACCTCGTTCTCCAACACTAAACCAAGGAATTACATGTATACTCATCCTTGAATCATTCTAACATGATCAAAATTTCCAAAGCGAACCATGATACCTTTCTTAAGACTCTGATATGACTATAATATTTACATTAAGAATAGACAAATTTCAAGAGGATCAAAAATGTAGGAAAATTCACAAACTTTGAATACTTAAAAAGTAGGAAGATAAAAGTATCGGATAATTAAAGAAAGACATAAATAGATAAATGAATGATATCAATAAGACGAAACGTACAAAATAAGAGGATAATAGAAAGAAGGATCTATCGAAGCAAGGAAGCACGCGTTCGAAGGCGAATACAGGCAAAAACAACGACAACGATGTATGTTAGACAATGAAAGGGTGGGATGTTTCCAGTTGGACACTCTTCACGGTCACATTTTCAGGAGAAGATCGATCTCAGTTTAAAACAATGATCGAGCGCGTCGAGGACGAACGCGGCGTTCCTCGCCCAGCGTGAACACGACGCTGCTACGGGGGCCTTGGGTTTCACTTTCGACACATCCTGGAGAGCCCTCCACGCTGCAGCCTTCACCCACATGCTCGTTCTTCTCGATCCCCCGCGTACAACGGCTCCGTTCAGCCGGCGTTTCGTGTGGACGCGGCTTTATCGCGCGCCCGGGATCTCGACACCTTCGCGCTAGCCACGTTGATCGAGTAATTACGCGTGTCCATAAAATTTACCGCGCGTATTACAATGGAAGAATGGGAGAAAGTCAAGGTATCGAATTGATTGCAACGTGACGTTTTATTTTGTCACGAGATGCAGCGATGATGCTTGATATTTGATTTTGGTTTTTGCTTCTTTCGTGTACTTAAACGGCAATCTACCAGTAAACTGGTGCATTCAAATCTCATGCATATATTTTATATTTACTAATAGATTGCAGATAGTAGCGTAGGATTACATTTTTGTGAAGAATTTTGTTACGTTTAAAGAAACAGAATGTAAGAGAAGATTTGTTTCAATAAATATTATGGATATTTTATATATTTTTGTATAGGATTGTACGTATTTCGTGTATTTTTGAACAATCTAATTTGCCAGAAATGCTTAAGAAATTATGTCTACGTTAATGCATCAATTGTATCATTAGTTTGATCACAAGAATTACTAGAGAAATTCATATTATACACTTATGTAATTCGATGTTATTTGTGTTTATTAGTTTAATTAAGACGTTACAGTTACGATCCTTGTATCATAAAATAAAAGGAATATTTTATAGGATAACTAGATTAAATTTAACAGAGCTAACGGGATACGAATGGCAATAAATGCTACTCGTAAAAAGAAATTAATCTTGTTTTACTTGAGCAAATACTGCGCCTCTTGCGCTACTGATTCTCAATATTATCTTTTAAATAAAGCACAATAAGGCTCAGGGAACTCGTTTACAGCTATGCGTTCACTTGAACCGCATACTTTACTTTCTTTGTCCTAAAGTAACGAATGTAAGGCTTTAAATGGTATTACACAATAATACCACGAGGAAAGAAATTGCTGGGGTAGAATGTGGAGTTGACTCGCGCAGTATACGTTTCGTTGGCGTTTCGCGTAAGAAGCACCCAAGGTGGCGCCTAAGACAGCATTCCGAATAAATTGCGGAACGGAAGAGCGCAGACGTACGCACGTGTCGGAGGAAAAACGTGTTGGCATAGCTTTTGCGTTTTTCTCTCTGGAGTGTTCATCTACTAAGAGCTCCATATTGTTACAACATGGAAAAACTCTTGTACATAACATGGCTATCTCTCGTCATTTACTAAAGAATTCTTCTTAAATTTCTACTTTGACTTCCGAGTAATCTTTATAGATTATAATACGATAAGATATAGATAAGATTTGACTTTCAATTATTTTAACAGAACCTACTACTCATGTATGTGTAAGAAACTATTAGGTTCACTAGGTAACTAATAATCGATAATATAATAAATAAATGAAAACAACTATCGTATGCTTCATAAATGTAAAATATTTGTAAAATGTAAAAGAACAATATTATTATGCAACAATCTAATATTAATCGTAAAACACGCCTGAGAAAATAACGGTTCGAGTTTGACCAGTCATCGATTCGACAGAAGAATCAAAAAATACGCAAACACGAATTACAGGGAATAAAATAACAACATCTCCGGGTGTCTTGTGAAAACGATCGCGTAGATGGGCCCACGGTCCTCTAATCATTCTTTACGGACACGAAGACGTATCGCGATTTCACGGTTGCTATTCGCTCGAGATCGTTCTTTCTTCCGGAGAAATAGAACGGACGGCGTGGGTACGGCCACCAGCAGCCAGTCGCATCAGAATCGCCTCGATACTGTTAACTCTTCCCGCAAAATCCTCGAATCATCGACGTATTCATCGTTTCTCTTTCTTTCCTCTCTCTTTTCTCTCTCCTTTGTGTTTCAAATATACACCTTACAAAAATAAGATTTGCATAACATTGACTTTATTTTTATTACTAATTTGTATTCCTACTTTATATATTTCAATCAATGTTATCAATATATGCGCGTAAGAGTTTTCGAATAAATTTTCTGTCTTCAAGGTGTATACTCGTTTCGCTACACTGTATATATAATCGTGAGAACACGAGACGTCTTATATAGTAAAAGTAATTTATTGGTGCAATCACAGTAAGCGACTCAGCTAAGATTTTAAGGACACTTTATCTCAAACAGAAATAAATTTCGTGGTTTGAAGTTGCAGTAAATTCGTAACTCGTAGAAAATTTCTTACTTATAAATGATTACTGTGTTAGACTGTATAAAGTCTGTGGAAGATCTAAGGAGATTTAGAAAAATATTTTTCATGTATTTAAGTTTTGAAAATGCAATTAGAATTACTGTTTTCTTCTTTTTTTTTCGAGGGACCACCCTGGGTATGGATTTATTTACTTCATTTCGAAGAAACGAGTGCAATAAGCTTGACAGTTTCTCATGGAAATAGTAAGAAGTATCCTCTAGGCAAGAAACCGAGAATGTCCTCGGGAAACAACAACAAAGGTGTAAAATGACCGCCCTCCGGCTGAAGACCGCACTCCGGTACTGCCTTTACCCTTTAATTTATGACGGTGCCGTCACTGCGAAATTTAATGCGGATTTCATTCAGTGACGATGAAATTGGATCGACTTCTTTCTGTTTTACAACTTCCTTGAGAAATCTATATCTATTTTAACGCAATTTAGGTAAGTTTTAGGTGTGATTTTCCAAGTCTAAATTTCTAAATATCAATCAATGGATCAATATCATCTATTAAATTTTGTCTGAATGAGAATATTCGTTACATATACAGGGTGGTTGGTAACTGGTGGTACGAGCGGAAAGGGGGTGATTCTACGCGAAAAAAGAAGTCGAAAACATAGAATAAAAATTTTTCGTTTGAGGCTTTGCTTTCGAGAAAATCGACTTTGAATTTTCGCTCGGTACGCGTGCGGTACGTTATAACGGATCTCACTGTAGATCGTTGTCTCAATGAAAAAAAAACATTATTTATTCTATATTTTCGACTTCTTTTTTCTATTTTTTAATTTTTCCATCGAGACCACGATCTACAGTGAGATCCGTTATATCGAGACGTGATAAAGTGAACGCGTACCGAGCGAAAATTCAAAGTCGATTTCCTCGAAAACAAAGCCTCTAACGAAAAATTTTTATTCTATGTTTTCGACTTCTTTTTTCGCGTAGAATCATTCCTTTCCGCTTGTACCACCAGTTATCAACCACCCTGTATATGTCGGCTTATCATTGGAGTTAGGGGCGTGTAATGAATCTTCGCGTGAATTGGCCATCGTTGTTATGTTACTATAGATGATATTTTACTGATACAAATGTGATTATTACAGAGTGTAACAAGTGATAGCGACGATTAGATAATCGAGATGTTGATGATAATGAATTTAGGTTCGATAACGAATCCACGGTCAACGTGATGACGAATGCGATTTCAGCCACAGTCTAAGTCGAACTCAACTCACTGATCCACGATTCGGCTGTGTCTCAACGTACTTGTCCACAGTACAAGTAGAACTTATCTGACTGAATCTCGGTCCAAGTGAAACTGCCCTTATACACTCCTGTCCGTATCTCTCTGGACCCCTCGGGTCAATCTTTGTTTTTAAGGAGAGCTATATGATTACTCCATACCTCTGTTAGGTACATGTCCCTCTAACACGCATACTCGGATTAGATCGTAAACAAATATTTCTCAGTTTTAGTATTTAAGTACAGCTATAATAAAAAGCCTGGACTAAAGTATCGGGGACCTTGCCAAACTTTCCAAAAAAAGGCCCCGATGTATTATACTTTGGTAAGTACTTTCATAGCTAGGCAATTCATCCAACTTGGATATCATTCAGAATGATTAGAAGCTGCTCACATCCTTTATGAACTCATTCTCGACCATAACGTTGCTCGATTAGAAAACAAAAGTTCAAGATATTTGCATGAGTTAAGTACGTAATGTTTATAATGAATGGCAATAGAGATAAGGAAAATAAACAAAAATTAGATACTGGTAACTAACAAACTTTGCTATGCATATAAAGTTTCCTCACACCTGACAATTTGACTAAAAACTGAAAAGGTTGAGAATGGTAAGTATTTTATGTAATTCGATAGTCGAAGAATGTAGATCTTTCTGAGAATAATCCGCTTCCTTAACGACCTGTTATTCTTCCGTGCAGAAAATTAAAACAAATACCAAGGTGTAAAATACAAGTTCCTCGAAGCACGCAACGTATAGAAGCCGAGAAAGAAGCTTTTTAATCCTAGTAACCGGCGAAGGCCAGAAGATAAACGCGGCTTGCAATTACATAATTAGTCCTATGTTTGATAAGTTGTAACATTTGCTTAATCGAAGGTTGTGAGTCATTCGCGACTATCATTATCGTAAGTGACAGTTAACGCTGTTGACTCTGAACTGTGCAAATCAACGAAATAATTGTTCCTTTTGTAGAAAATTGAAGCTTCTCCAGGAGAAGAAACTTGTTACGCGAGATCGCGGTGAAAATAAAGCAACGAAATCCCTGAATTCCCTCGCGGAAGGAAATAGCGAGGTAATAATCAATCGATTCATCGAACGAGAACTTAATTGGATGAACGTAAACGATGTTAGGCTTTACATTTCATCAAGTCGTTGGCATATTAATAGAAATTGGTTTCTTTTTGCAAATATTTCCATACGCACACGAACATGCAACAGCGATATTTGCTTTATTTTCTCTTAGACAGTTTGCTATTACTGTTTTAATTAATGAAATTAATCGCCTATTTATAAGCGTGAATGTTGCTAACGTTGTTTAATGCGATATATCATTTAGGACTTTCCTTCAATTTGTTAACTTCCTTGAGAAATTGATATCAATTTAGCTACATTCACAGTGTGGTTTTCCAAATTAAAATTTGATTTGGATCGATATCATCTGAAATAAATAGCTTTGAAATAAGTAATATATATACTAAGTTATTTTTCAATGCAACCACCAGCCCCATTCCAACGCTTGCCCTAACGTTATACGAATTTTGCATATACCTTCATTTGTACATTTCCACTGCCAGTTCGCATAACCATCGTCTTACGCAGTCCTTTAAATCATCGTTTCTTCTGAAACGATTATCGACCAGAAAACTCTTTAAGTTTTACAAAAAAAGAAAAAGAAAATGGTAATCTGACTCGTTTGACGCGTCTATCATTTGCAATGAAGTCGCAGGCACGTTCTTGAGCTTCTCTGGAATGAGAGACAGGCGTAATCACAACTGTAATCACATACAGTTTGTCTACTGAATCCACACACCCATCGTCTGATCAATGATTCATCTATAACTTCATTACCGTAAAATACTGCAATTTGGTGATGAATTTCTTTTGGAAGAATGTCTTGAGCGTTTGAAAAGGGTAAAAGCGTCATTTTAAAAGCGAGATTTTCAATTCACATCGCATTTTTAAACGTGTGATATAATGGCAATATTAAATATTTAAACACAAAATTTGTTATGACTTACGTCAATAAATGAATGAAACTAAGTGACCTTCTGCAAATACATTCCATCGTTTTATGTGGCTTTTATATGTGCAAATGGTTAGTATTTTCTGGACTATTGTGTTAAATTTTATCTTCATTCGACCATATATTTTGAGTGGCAAATCCATTTTGTGAAAAAATTGAGAAAACGAAGAATTTACGTACACTTTAACGTAAACTTTTTATTTCTAAATTTATTTATAAATTATTCATAAACTTTCATTTATAGAATTTATTAATATGAAAAGTTTTTAATTTAAACTTAAAATATTCGTTTGTTTTAATCAATGGA